GACTGTTGTTAGTAGATGCAAGGGTCGGTCTTGATCGGTGTAAAGCCTTGAGAACGAAAGTACGAAGCGAGGGCAAAGTTCCATCCACGCGAAGATTGCTTCAGACCGTAAATGCTTTTGTTGAGGCGACAAACAAGGTGTTCTTGTCCAGGCTAAATGTATCCAGGCGGTTGGCGCATATAGAGTGTTTCTTGAAGTGTACTACTCTGGTCCGTAATGTTTGTCACATTGACTTTTCGATTGGCGGGATTTTTCTAATTTTGGCTGAATGTATCCAGGCGGTTGGCGCATATAGAGTGTTACTTGAAGTGTACCATTCAAAAATGCAGTTTGCACGTCCATGTGATATACTTTCAAGGAGTAAATAGTGGCCAAAACAAGGAGGAAACGAATGCTTGAAGTGCGAATGACCGGTGCAAACATGTCCGCGTAGTCAACACCAGCAATTTGTGTGAAACCTTAAGCAAAGCGACGGGCTTTGTAACGGGAAAGTGAACCATCGGCAGCGTGTTTCTTGGAGAAGAACCAACGGCATTTAATGGGCTTTTCACCGGTGGGGAGTTCACAAAGGGTCCAGGTACCGTGTTGCATCAGGGAGTCATACTTAGCATCGGTGGCATTGATCCATTCATCGCGTTCAGACGAAGTATGGGCAGACCAGTTGATTGAAGGGCAAAGGCGACGAGTATGCGTAGACGCTTGGCATCTTGAGAGTCTTCATCGATAGTGTCGTCGGCAATAGTATCTTCACGAAAACGATGGCGAATAGAGGTATCCAAGACAGGTGACGTATCCATGTCAGCAGAGTCTTCGAGGTAGACATGGACAAAGGTGGATGAGTCATCCAAGTCAGGGGATGTGTTCATGTCGGCGGAAGAGTCGTCGGCGGCTTGATGGTGAGGCGGAGCAGGCGAAGCAACGGCTTCAGATGGAGCAACTGGGGGACGATCAGCAACGTCGGGTGCGAAAGGCGGAGCAGGGGTAGAGTCGACGGCTGGTGGAATCGGAGATGGCGGCTGTAAGTTTGCTTCGGGGGAAGCAGTGCTTGGTAAATCGGGTTCGGGCGGGGCAA